TCGCATTTATATCCCACCAGTGTAAAGGGCGGCAATCAGCATCAGATGGCAATCCCTGGGGCCTTCGGCGGCGCCTCGGTATCCGTGCGACAAGCGACCCAGGAGGCAGGTTCGGCTCGGAGGGGATTTCTTCGTTCCATAGTAATGCCTCACACTTACTTGAGTGGTGAATAGCTCCACTTTCTCAATGAAGATGTTGCCGAGGCCTGGGTGTTTTGAAAACAGGTCATTATGAATTAGAAACCAAGCATAGATTCCCTACCGGTGCGACAGGGGGCGGGGGGGGGGGGCGATAACAGAGATACCTCCGTTATCATTTGTTCTAGGGGGGGGGGGGGTTAACAGAGATACCTCCGTTCTCATTTGTTCTTTGGGAGCTGCTCCTCGGGGATGTCCAGAGCGTGGGGGTGAGGCTTCCATTGCCATCTGCAGCGCTAGGAGGTTTTCTTGACTCAGTGGATAGTTTGATGCTCCTCCATATTTTTCAATTGCAGCTGTGATTGCTGTGAGAAGATCAAGTTTGGTGACGAGCTAAGTCAATATTAGCAATTTTCATGACTTGAGGCAGTCATCTTTGAAAGGGAAATCATGGAAATTGCATTAAATGTAATGGGGTCAGATCTATCTTATTTGTAAGGTTTTATAGGTAAAAGATTTTCAGGTGAACATGATTAATAAACAATCACTATTTATAAAGAAAAAAAACATAAAGGATTTCAATCACTTGCCTTGGGAAATGTTCCAGGAAGGCTTCTGTGACTTGAAAAACCTTTGAATGCCAATTGACAGCTTCAGAAAGAGAGGATAAAGACTGAAGTTATGTTCTGGTACTGGGGCTATCATTATACTGAAGAAGCAATATAATGAAAAAGCCATCTGCACATTTGTGCGTTTTCTTGTTCCCTTCATTGGGGTGAACATCATTTTATTATATACCTAGAATCAGCTGTTAAGTGGTGTTTTAAAGATAATGTTTTCTTTGTAAAATGTTTGCTTTACTAATGAGAATTTAATTGTAAATATTGTACTTTAGTATATAGTGTACTTCTTACTATTACTGCGTTGAATTGTTTGAAAATAGGATTTTTTTTTACCTAGTGTGAAAGTCAATCCCAAAAACAGGCAAAAAATGCTACTTTGAAGAAAAAAAGGTAGTTGTACAGCAGTTCCTGTGCATCAAGCCTATGTATCTATTTTTTGTGGCCAGTTTAACCCATTCGCCACATTTGGCAAGAATAGATGCCATACCCACTTTGAGACACGTTTATTTATTGTATTTACACATAGATGGCTCTACAAGTTCTTAATCACCAAACAGCCAGTTATCAAGAACTACCTATTTCACCTGTTTACCCTTTTCCTTCACCTTTAGGAAAGGGTTTTTTTTGTATCATTTCATTGTCTAAAATATTCTAGTGACAATTTGGTAATCATAACATCAATAACAATAATAACAATATCGATAGCAATGGTATTAATTTTCCCGCCAATGCAATGAATGGGAAAATCAGGGTCGGTAACTAGGGCCTACTGAAAGACTCCTTGCCGGCTGAGTAAATGTGGAGCCATCTATATGTAACATAATTCACTAAAAACTACAGGGGACAGAACATAAATCCGCGGCGAATGGGTTAAAAAGACTATCAAAAAGTAAACCCCGATCAATTTTTCTATCTTTAGCAGAATTGCATTGGAATACATTTTTGCTAGATTATTTTGTTAGAATATATTCCAATGCACTTCTGTGTTTCTTATTTTCTGAAATATGTTTTTCAGCACATACTTCACCCTTGCATTTCTCTTTCCCTCCAGACAAAACCACTATGGCCGTTGATTCAGAATTGACAGATATTGCAGCTACTGTATATGGTGAGGAATTTTGCCAATGCCACTCAGTGAACTAAAATCTTGATTTGGTTCAGCTAAGTAAATATGTTGGCAAAAATACCTGTCAAAGATATAATTTTATAGATTCACAGTACAGGGGAGCAGAAACTGATTGAATGATTAATGATATACCAATTTGATTATTAATGATTACTTCAATGAATTTGGTTACTACTGGACATATATTGACAATTATAACTATGATGAATATATTTAGGATTGATATTCAGATTAGAATAAACATTTTGCAGATGCCATTCGCCTTGTGAGAGACCCAGAAAAGGATGCAACTTTAGAGGACTTAAATGTTGTCAGTGAAGAAGGAATAAAGGTTAAATCTGATTTGTTAATAATGCTTAACAGCCAATATTTTGTATTTAATAAGTGTAATCTATGTGTACTTTACAGCATTTGTACATTGTTAAAAAAGAAGAATAGTAGTATGAAGGAGAACAGTGTTGTTGATTAAATCTTGATTAAAAAAAAAAAAAATGGAAAAGAAATAGTCTTTCAGCATGGGTTATTACAACCCAAATTCATAAATATTTTTTCTTATATATATGCTAGGACAGTTTTTAGTATCTAGAGACATGGAAAATACCATTCATATTCTTTTTCCATAACAGGTTACTAGATTCAATGAGGACAAGTATCTGATAACAGTGGAATTTGTCCCAACCATTTCCCACTGCTCTTTAGCAACTCTCATTGGCCTCTGCATACGAGTGAAGTTGATGCGTGCGCTCCCTTTTCCCTTTAAAGCAGACATCCATTTGGCTCCTGGAAGTCATGATACAGAACACGAAGGTATGCTATTGGGAGTATTTATTTTGTTAAGAACTATCTTGTGAATCAAAAAGAAAAAGTGAGAAATTTGATTAGAGTTGTAAGTAGTGTTCAGCAGTGAGTTTCTTCATTTGAATATAGTTAGGTAAGATTGTAAGGAAATCTGTAGAATGAATTTCACAGATTTTTTATATGTTTTTAAATATTTTGATTGCTATTGCTTCTTGTTTTAATCATATTTATTCTTCACCCTTTTATTCTTTTCAGTAAACAAACAAATCAATGACAAAGAACGTGTAGCAGCAGCTTTAGAGAACCCTAACCTTGCAAGAGTTGTTGAGGAATGTTTAGTCGAAAGAGATTGCTAGTTATCTACGAAAGAGAGATTTAGAATTGGGGCAATATTTATCACTGATTTTCTGCCTTTGTTTGTTTGTGTGAAATTGGAAAGAATGATACACAGTAAATACTATTTTATTGCCTTTGGTCTCATTGTTGGAACAGAAATACTATATAGGTGTGTGCAATATATTGTTAAACAAAAAACAGGAAAAGCAGATACCATGCAGAAGAGAAATTACACAAAAGTAATTTTTTTCCCGGATAAGGGTATAACCTCAAATGGTGTTTATCAGGGTGTAAAACCAGTTTCAATATCATGGCAAGACCTATCTCCTCAGATGCCAATGCATAGAAATAATGTCATGAAAAATAATGATGTGCCTAAACAGGTTATAGCAACAGAAGGAAAAAAGTCTTCCCTTCTTCAGAGAGATGCCAAGATGGAGGTTGATCAGATGGAAGTGAATGGACTTGAGATGGAAATAAGTGATGAATTGCCCTGTGAGAAAATGATTGAGAATCCATTTCTTGTACCAAAAGCTTTTCAAGAACAGGTGAAAAACAAGATGAAACATAAAAATCACTTAATAATATCATGTAATAAAGAAAATACTTTGTGCTCTCAGGAAAATTCATCAGAAGAGAGTTGCAGTACTAACCTCAGTGAAAATCCATTTGGTTATCCAGTTCAACCTGGAGGAAATTCCTTCTTCAACTCTTACAGTGAACATAAAGAAAGAGAATACAAAAAATATTTGAATTCATTTCACATTGATGGAAGACAACAGACTACTAGAAATGTCAAGAATGAACAATTTATCTCAGGAGTTTTGAGAAGAAGCACGTCTCTTGTTCACATGGTAAATGCCATCTTGGCAGCCAAGAAATCAGTGGTAATATGTGTGTATGTTTTTACATGCAAGGTGCTAGCAGATGCAGTCATTAAAGTTAAGGTTAGTGCCAGTGGTTGACTTATCTCTAATATTTTTATTCACTTATTTTCCATTTTATGACATTGAATTGATTATTTTGCATTGTCAATTTTATATCAATGTTTCAGATAATTTTTATGAACATTTTAAGAACTTTTATCAACATTTGAATTTAATATGAAATTATATGTGGATGGTTTATCAAGCATTTTGTGTGTATAAATGGCTATGGAAAAAAACTGTTGATTGCTTCTTTTCTTACAGCAACGAGGGGTGAATGTACGCGTACTGGTGGAAAATCAAATGATCAATTCTAGTATGGAAGTTATAAAACTGCTTCAGAGACATAACATCCTTGTATGGTGTAGTCAGTCAACATTTCTGATGCACCACAAATTTGCTGTGATTGATGGCCCATTGCAGAATGAAACACAAGGAATTAGGGAGATTGAGCCTTTAGGCTTCAGAACTCAAACAGTTAAGAAGAGGGAGATATTCTGTCTTTCTGGGCTGACTCGTAAAAGAGTGACAAATGACCAGGATGGCCGAAGAAGATCCAGTTCCAAAGTCTCTAAGAATGTGGAAAATGGCAGCTCAGACTGGGCTGAAGATGGTGTGCTGATGAATGGATCATTTAATTGGACCTGGGGAGCAGTAGTAGGTAATAATGAGAATGTTGTAATCACAAATGAACCAGAATTAGTATGGCATTTTGCTGGAGAATTTGAGAATATGTGGAAAGCAGCTGGAGCTCCAACTCAGAATGATGTGAAAATTAGGAAATAGATGCTGCTGTATATTAAATTTCTGTTCACAAAGAAAATCACCCAAACAGGAATTTTGCATTCATAATGGATTAATGCTGTAAATAAATTTACTTTTCAAATTTTGTTCACATCCACTATTGCAATTTGAGAAGTTATAGTCAGCTATGTGTAGGTGTTCTTCGAATTTGTTTGTTGATTTGATTTTATTTGCTGTGAAAAATGTTTATTGGTAGACATTGTAATACTTCATTTATTCCTAATATTTTTTTTTTGTAAACAATTTATGGTGAAATAATTACCTGACTATATTTTTTTGGCAATGTACAATTTTGCCCTTTTGTTTCTTTTGTAATTATTAACTCCAAGAAGTACTTCTATTGGAATTATTAAGAGAAATTGTATGGAAGGGTCTAGTTCAATGTCATTATTTTTGCAAGGATGCTGACACTTGAATAATGGTGTTTTTTCACTAGAATTCTGTTAGGGTAACAAATGAACTGTATTGCTGGATCTCTCTCTCTCTCTCTCTCTCTCTCTCTCTCTCTCTCTCTCTCTCTCTCTCTCTCTCTCTCTCTCTCTCTCTCTCTCTCTCTCCTCTCTCTCCCTCCCTCCCTCCCTCCCTCCCTCTCCCTCTCCCTCTCCCTCTCTCTCCTCTCCCTCTCCTCTCCTCTCTCCTCTCCTCTCTCTCTCTCTCTCTCTCTCTCTCTCTCTCTCTCTCTCTCTCTCTCTCTCTCTCTCTCTCCCCCCTCCCCCCCTCCCTCCCTCCCTCCCTCCCTCCCTCCCTCCCTCCCTCCCTCCCTCCCTCCCTCCCTCCCTCCCTCCCTCCCTCCCTCCCTCTCTCTCACTTACTCTCACTCTCACTCTCACTCTCACTCTCACTCTCACTCTCACTCTCTCTCTCACTCTCACTCTCACTCTCACTCTCACTCTCACTCTCACTCTCACTCTCACTCTCACTCTCACTCTCACTCTCACTCTCTCTCTCTCTCTCTCTCTCTCTCTCTCTCACTCTCACTCTCACTCTCACTCTCACTCTCACTCTCTCTCTCTCTCTCTCTCTCTCTCTCTCTCTCTCCCTCTCTCTCTCTCCCTCTCTCTCTCTCCCTCCCTCTCTCTCTCCCTCTCTCCCTCTCTCCCTCTCTCTCTCTCTCTCTCTCTCTCTCTCTCTCTCTCTCTCTCTCTCTCTCTCTCTCTCTCTCTCTCTCTCTCCCTCTCCCTCTCCCTCTCCCTCTCCCTCTCTCTCTCTCTCTCTCTCTCTCTCTCTCTCTCTCTCTCTCTCTCTCTCTCTCTCTCTCTCTCTCTCTCTCTCTCTCTCTCTCTCTCTCTCTCTCTCTCCTCTCTCCTCTCCCTCTCCTCTCCCTCTCCCTCTCCCTCTCCTCTCTCTCTCTCTCTCTCTCTCTCTCTCTCTCTCTCTCCTCTCCCTCTCCTCTCCCTCTCCCTCTCCCTCTCCCTCTCTCTCTCTCTCTCTCTCTCTCTCTCTCTCTCCCTCTCCCTCTCCCTCTCTCTCTCTCAGCATTTCTTTTATTATATTTTATTTTTTGGTTATTATTTCTTTAGATTGGCAAAATTTCCTTTTATTACTGCTACATTGCAATCAATGTGTTGTAAGATATTGTGTATAAATTCCATTCCTGACTTATTTTAAATACAGTTATTTTGAAATATTGCCCTTAATTTATAAGATAAACTACAGGGTAAATGAAAATGAAAGACAGAAATCCTGTGTCCATAGAAAATCAGCAGAAATGACTGAATAGTATCTTTATTATTAGCCGGAACTGTATTGTATAATTATTTATTCTTGATATTTTAAAGAACTAACTGAACATGATATAAATCATTTTCAATAAAAACAGAAAATTGTATTGTATAGTGCTGGTTAAAAAGACTTACAATCCATAAAAATTGTCAATGGTTGTTTTGATAGAAAGAAAGATGTAGTGTATTTTCAAAATGCAGAAACTAGTTTTATATTTTTTGTTTTTTTCCTCCTTTTCATTATACCCTCTCTGCATTAACATAGAGAAACAGAATTGGTACCCTTGTCCATGGTAATTAATTAATTCTTCAATTAATATTTGATATGCTATTACTGTAGAAATAAAAATGTTGAACTGTACATATCCATCCCACTCTATGTCAGTAATAAGGTATAGCAAAATAGCAAAACAGTCCATTGGTCATGTTGCATGATATCCCATAAACATTTAGTTCCAAAAATTACTTAAACAAATCCTAAAAAAGAAGAAAAAACAAAAAATGAGCAAAAGTAAAACCGATGGTTAGACACATAAACAATTGTATATTACTATATAGATAGAGATATTGTAGTATGCATACACGCATATATGTAAACTATGTAAACTATATATTATTACCATCATCGTCATCGTCATCGTCAGCAGCAGCAGCAGAGATCCACTACAGGAGTAGGCCTCTCACAGTCTTTTCCAACTTTTTTCTGTCTTGCATTTTTTGTTTCAGCTCTGGCCCCAAAATTTCGTTACTTCGTCACGCCATCTTGTCATTGGTCTGTCCCTTGGCTTCTTTATGTTATCTCTAGCCCAGTCGTTACTTTGATTGTTCATCTGTTATTCTGTCTCCGACATATGAGACAAGCCCACTGCCTTTTTTTGATGCTCCTAAGTTATCTTCCACTTTTGTCTGTTCCCTGATCCAGTCGCCCTCATCCGATCTCTGAGGATAATTCCCTTCAACCTTTCCATTCCTCTCTATGCACTAGTTTCCTCTCCAGTAATTTGGTTGTAGTCCATGTTTCCGATCCATAGGTCATAACTGGAAGGATGCATTGATTAAAGAACCTCTTAGTATGATACTGTTTCTGCCGAAAACGCTCCAGGCTTGACTGATGCATCGCTTTATTTCCTCTTCGCTAAATGTGTTAGTGTGAGTTGTTCTAGATATATATACTTGACCACTACCTCTAGCGCTTCACTTTCTACATGTTCTATTCATCCTAAGTCCAACTTTAGGACTTTCTCTTTTCAGATTGTTTATCAATTACTGCAGTTCAATTGCTGATTCACTGAAGAGAACAATATCATCTGCAAATCGAAGATTGTTTCGGTGTTCGTTTCTAACATTCTGACTTCATGAATATTTCCTCAAAGCAAGCTGCAATTTTTTTTGGTGAGATGGTGTCGCCCTATCTTACACCTTTTTAATTGGTTAATGGTTAATGGTTAAAAGCAAAATAAATGTGCTAGACATCTAAGGCCATGTAGCACTATAGTAAATGCTAGTGAAGGGTGGTTAAGTTAGTGATAATGTAAATGTAAAGGGGTTAGATTAAGTGAAGGATATTTATGCGTTTGAGGAAAGAAAACAGGTTGGCGAAGCACAAA